TATAATATTAACCACTCATATTGAAACAAAATAAAAGTTTTGATTATAAAATGGTTATATAGAATATTGGTTATTTTATCGACAGCACACAATTTGACTTTTGGTTATAAAATAGTTATATATTGGTTATTATATCAGATTTTCGATTCTTTTTTTTTGATAATTCGTCGTTTTGCACATTAGGTGACAATATGTAAATACATACTTATACAATACATACATATTTTAAATTTTTATTTACTAATATTTATCTGACCAGCAAGTAAACAGGTTCTGAGCGGCTAAAGTTCGATTACGATAATTTCGCAGTATGTTTATTGAAAACGACGCTTTTGTGAAATCAATAATACAAATTGTTGTCAATACTTAACACATACTTACTTACATACAAAACAAATACAACATGTACATACGTACCAGTTTAAATTCTACTAAAATGCATATTGCACACGTATGTATGTATATATACATATGTATGTATGTATGTACATCCTGGTTTCATGGAAATTGAAAAGTTTATTCGCTTTCCGTTTTGATATGAAAGCTAATTATTGTGTACTAAGTTAATTACTTATGTAGGAGGGAAAAACCCGTTTTATAAAAATGAAAGAGAGAAAACCGGCAAACAATTGTTCCGTCGTTCACTACAGTTGGGTCTACGTCACCGGAACAGACCGAGATTCTTATTCGCTCAGCTTATGAGAAATAAATTACCTTATCTCTGACTGACCGCTATGACAACCACAACAACAAATGGTATTTGCACAAGTAACATTTCTATTAATATGTGTCGGAGCGCCAGTACCTTTTGTATGTCAGTGTGCATGAGTATATGAGGAGTGCTAATAATTTGTAGGCCACTGTATGTGCCAGAGCTTTATATGAAGTAAGCGCCGCATAGGTGGCATATATTTCGGTGCTTTCGATTGCCAATGCCAAAAACGCATAATAGCAAAACTTTCCTCCAGTTCACTGTTATTCAGTGAGGTCTGATCGCATTTTGCGAACAGAGAGTAAAGAGAGACAAGAACCGTCAGGTACTTTTAGAGTAATGAAGAAAATAGCAATAATTAGGCGCTGTGTCCTCGCAGAATCAGTTCGAAAATTGACATCGATAGGAGCAGATCTTAATGTGCTATATTAACAAAAAGTATAAAGTGAAGCTATTGTGCTATACTAAAATAAAGGTGTGAAGTGATAAGTAATGGAATCATCTACGCAGAAAATGCATTTAACCTAACCATCAGKGATTGGTATGCTAAGTTTAGATGTGCAACGAAGACGGTGAACGCAGTGGACGCTCAAATAAAGGTTGTTATCGACGAAAACATGAAAAAAAGTCCCCAATTCGGAAGACCTTAAATTGAAATTTTTCGAGAYAGCAGGAACTCTAAAGATATCACCTGAACGTGTACATCATATCAATCACGGATATTTCTGTATGAGAAAGCTTTYTGCAAATTGGGTGATGGTGCGAGCTCACTTCTGACCAAAAGCAATATCGAGTTGATGATTCGGAGCAGTGTTCGGAGATGGTCAAGCATAGTAAAMCCGAGTTTTTGCATCGTTATGAGAGAATGGATGAAATATGGCTTCGCTCCGAAGTCCAGTCGACGGTCATCTTACTTATAACTTTGTGAAACCCCTTACCATATATTAATATCCTGATCAATATATATTAATTTTGTCACGTAGYTTGTAATTCCCAGAAGGAACTTATTTCATGCTATGCTATTTTTTAAAAGTATCTAGCATACGTATTTTCATCTGTTGTGCATTGTACCAAACTAATTTTGGATACATTTTCACGCACATATATTACTTATGAATTATAAAAACCACTAGTAATGTTTTTAATTACTTTTGATGGTTAACTTCTTTGTAAATCTTAAAAATAAAATACACCTTTTTCTGCATTGAGTTCAATAATGKAAAAACCAAAATKACTGCCTAATGTGCACTGTCAAATTACCRAGAAAGCACGAACAAAAGGGAATGAATTACACCCACTTAGCAATAAATGTATGAAGTGAACGCGAAAAGCTAAAATACTGTGGATGGCGTAGACGGTGTTGGACCGGCCAGGGCCAATGCAGAAAGGAAGGAAATGCTAAAATTCTGTGGAGGAAATATCGATGAAGCATCATTTTACAAATTTAAGTATAAAACAAATTAAGGCTTTACATTTCTTAACGATTTCATTTTGGTTTTCTTTATTTTGATTTCTTGTCCATACAAAAACGTTGGCTGGGTTGCATTRGTTTCAGTTTGTATGGAAAAATGAGCAAAAACACTGATTTTTGGTCATTTTGAAAGGGCTCCCTACAGGTCTATAGCGGGTCGAGGGGGGGTTTATTAAGAAATTCGACCCTTCCTCTTTCCAACAAGGGGGCGTAAGGGGGGTAGCCCGCCTCCTGTTTTTCTCCATAAACGATACTTAACCGGCGCGATACTAAACAATCCCCGACGGTTGATATGAAATGAGAGAACAACATAAGGYGACTGCCACATGTTCAATATATATACATATGTACATATATTGATCACGACAAAGTGTGGCAATATTTATCGAGCTTTTAATATGTAATATTGCTGCTTTGCTATTCATATYACAAGTAAGTTAAATATTTTGAAAGCCGTACCGTGGACTGTGAATAGCGCAATACACAGTCAACGTTTAGCAGATTTGATATATAAATTTACTATGCGACGAAASGGAGCATTGCAAAGATTTAAAATTAGTCATGATCTAAATATTGTATAACAATAAATATTGAACGTGTGACAGGCACAAAACACTTTTTACGTGAAATGTGCTGAATACAGAGTCGTATTGCTAGGTGAAATGTGCTGAATGCATAGTCGTATTGCTAGGTACTACATAAAATTTCTTAAAAGTTGCAAAATAAATTTTTTATATAATTTATTGGAGTTACTAAAACTTCAAAAAACTATTTTGCTTTCAAAATAAAAGTAATGTGCTACAAAGGTGTTTTTTATTAGCAATATCCTGCTAAATTCCTTTTTTTGAAGGGTTTTATTTTGTGTCGCGGTTTTATAAGTGTCTCATATGTTTTTTTTTTTTTTGTTTATTTATAAAGTTTATTGTATTGAGCTTTCAGTTATGCAAAGATAACATAACTATGCCGTATGTGAAAACTGTCACATAAATAATCTATCTAATAGGGGTTTTCATGTCTTTGACTACCAAACGAAAGATCACACGTTTCGTTATTTTTTCTCAAATCGGCCTCAAGAAATACATAGGAACTTAAATGCAAATCTCTGATAGCGCTTTCTGTTAATTAAGGTATGATTCAAGCCATGTTTGACTTGCAAGAAARTGAGTACGCCCAGATTTCCAAAACTACAGAGTTGCATTGAAAGAATTTGCAAACAATAAATATGGTTTTGCACAACACTGATTGCAGCAAACAGCTGTAAGTTTTAGTTTTGTTTATACACACATTTGTTGAATTGTTTATCATTTGCATCGTTCTAGTGTTTATTTTATTTTTTTAAATAACATTAACTATTTACACACATATACTTATAAGTTGTAGGCGGTAAGTTTTCATTTCTTCTTTTGTATTCTTGTTGACGTATAATTAGAAATTCTACGTATCCATCAACGTTGTCGTAGAATTTGAACTTAGGTAGCACAAAAAGTCTTATTTTGCGTATCCTTTTATGATATCGTGATTGGAATTATATTATTATATATTAAGTTTGCGAGCGCGCTTCTGATGATCCAAATTCAACCTAAACTTAATATTGACCTTTTGACATCCTTTTCAAGGATATGGTCTCTTCGCACGCATGTACAATCTAACAGCTAAATATTAAAGAGGCAACGGATATAAAACCGTCTGCTCAAGRCAAATGTATGCGTTATGATGCTCTTATTAGACAATAATACTCCAATTAGGCAATCGTCTACCAATAGGGTGCTATGTACATAAGTGTGTACATATATGCATGCATTATATATTTGATTTCTAAACGAAGATCGCTACTTTTGCAGTGGCTTGTTGTTGTTTTAAAGGTTATCTAATCTCCGTTAGGATGGGAAGGGTTACAACGCAAATTGTCGTCGAGGTCATCTAACGAGAGGCCAAGGAAACATGCCGTTTCGGCGGGATCGGACCAAAGGCAGAAGGGTGTTAGATGAGTAGGGTTTATAGGCCATGCAAAAAGGTGGCCAGTATCATGCGGGGACTGGTTGCATGCAGGACATACATTGGGTATGTCAGGGTCAATTCTGAATAAGTAGGAGTTTAACCTGCTACAATTCCCACGGCAGTCGGTTCTACGTAYCGGAATTGACTCGGATTTTATCCGACCAAGKGCTGTTTTTTCRGCGATCTAACCCCGTTTGGATCGGTGAGTACTTTGCAGTGGCTCATGGTTACTAGTCAATATGCTTTAATTTCTAATAAAAAATTAAAAATTCATTGCATATGAAATGAAAGTTTTATGTTAGAAATCATGTTTTATGAATATGGCGAAAGTAGGCGGATTCCTACATACATACATATATGAACAAACGTTTGTAAGTATGTATGTATGTATTTGCATATTTGCATATGCATGATTGATGGAAAACGATCTCAGATTTTATCAATATACATATGTATGTAAATATGTATGTGTGCCCATACTTATCCATATGAATTCATTGAATACAATAAACTGGTTTGCGACGACGAAGAAGGTTAAATACTGCTTAATGAGGCAAATTTGAATAAATAAAAAAGAAATGGATAAACATATGTTTGTTCTCACATACATAAGTATATGTGTAGGTAAAAAATTTTKAAAAGAAATGTTGAAAAAATGAAGTTAGTATAAAGAACGTGTATGGTTTATTGACCTATTGTTAGAAACAGCAGAAATCCACTCAAATTTATCTACTAATAGCAGTAAATCAAAACCTTAAATTTTTTTACCCTTTCTCAGAATTTATTTATTTATTTTTTATTTTTTAATTTAGTGTTAATTAAGCATTAGAGTTTTGAAATAATAAAATTCAAATATTTTCTGTAGCAATTTTTAAACTAAATTTGTAAATCGCAAGCCCTTCACTAAACTGCCGATTTGCGCTGGCACATCCCTAAAACGTATGCCTTCAACAAAATCCGACTGCAAACTACATGGATACTCCGAGCCGTATGCATCTGTACGCCACACCAGACGAATCTTGTACTCTATATCAGGCGTTAGCAGCAAACCATCACCCCACTCGATATTCATATCACAATTATATCTTGTCAGCTGTTTTGCCACATTGTGCTGCCAYAGAACTGTCTCAACGCCATTCGCCACATTCGGCTCTTGATCACTTTCATCACTCTCACCATCGCTACCGCTACTCTGTGCCAGCTGCTGCTGGTTAGCATTTATGGCAGGCGCTACAATCTCAATTTGTAAATTTTCACAGTACTCGCTGGGTATGTTGAAAGCATAGTGCGACATCGGTGAAATGTTTGGCGTTAAGCGACTACAGATAATCAGACCGCGTAATGCAATAAATCGATCACATTTTACATACAAAGTCCATTCGTTTGTGTCCTGATCGACAATAAAAGGACGACATGCCTTGAAATAGCTRCGTTCAATCGCATGGCATTGTTGTTTTGGCTGTTGTGACGACTGGAGCGCATGATCTTCACACTCAACACCGCTTACGGGCAATTGGAGATCATTTATAATTAATGCACAATCTTCCTGCTGTAAACCTAATTCGTGACATTCCTGCTGACACCACTCATAGACGAACCACAACAGCTGTTTGCTGGTCTTCTCACTCTTATTAGCCGCTATGATCGCCTTAATGCAATCTTTGGATACATGCACATAGTGATTCTTATGTGAGGTCATGTATTGTGGATTATTGATGCAGCAGCGTGTAAAGAATGACATGCAAACGTCTAGCAAATCACGCAGATCCATGCAGACACAAAGTTCCAGCGCGGGTAATATATTGTTGTAGCGTAGCTTGCGCGCTATCGCTACCAGACAACTATTGGTCAAATCGGTGATTAAATATTTCTCAGCGCAATAGTATAGCTCGATAGCGTCCTCCAGCGTGAGCGACTCAAAGTCTATGACGCCGGCGTATATGTAATTTAAAAGCATTTGGAAAGTCTCGGCGCTAATATCCAAAATTTCGATTTCTTGTTGTTGTTCGCGTAGCGGTCCATAAAACATGGCTTCGAAAACTGGACTCGCCGTGGAGAGTATCAATTTGTGACACTTTAACTGGGCGCCGGCAATATGAAAAACACAATCATAGAATTTCTCAGAGCGCAAAAGTTGTTCGAAGCGCCGACTAAATTGTGCCGCCATAGCGGCGTTGTCCATAAGCTGATGAGCCAGCTGAACGGATTTGGTCTGCGGTGCCGACACCGGTTGTGAGTAGCTCGGCAAGAATATGGAATTCATCTAAAAGTGAAAAAATAAGATAATAAATATACAATATTTAATTAAAAAAAAAAAAAGAAAAAACGAATGGTTTATACCGACGGACAGAGGGACAGACGGGCATGGCTAAATCGACTCAGCTCGTCACACTGATGATTTATATACATATGAATATATACTTTATAGTGGCTTCTAATTGGGAAACCCTCGCATTGTTTACACGACGATCTCGACAGGAGCAAGAAAAAGACAATCAAAACCAGAGGGAACGTGCTACCTTGGTGAAAAACTACAAAAGTCATTTGCAAAACGTTAGATCGGGAATGCACAAAATTCCTATTGGCACCCGATAGATCAAACTGTAGGAACATCATGAAAATACTAAT